TGAAATTAGACCATTAACCTTTAACGGTATTATTATATCTTCACCCTCGGAGACAAAATAATAACAATAAAAGGAGCAGTAATTTCTTCTTTAAAAATATCCAATCTTACGGTGACGCTCTGTATTCGGAAAATGGGCTTACTCGTCGGACTTGTCGTCGGTCTACTTGTCGGCCTTGCTATTATCGTACTCTTTGATCGTTCCGAGAACTCTCGATCGAAGCTTCGAACTAAGCTCATTAGTCCTCTCCTTTCTGCTCCCTTTTCTTTTGAATTTGATTTACTTTCTATGTACTTATTTCCTTTTTGGTTGCATTGCAGGCCACGACGGTTGCCGCTTTTGCAAGAATGAAAGTCGATTATTCTAGAAAGATCTTGCCGGCGGAATTCTACCCTTCTTGGGTGGTCTTCTCGCAGCGCCTGAAGTTGACTTGGCTTAATCAGCACCTTACGAAGATCTGTCCCTACGTTAATGAGGTCAGGCTTTGTTTAATGAATGCACAAGATTAAACAAATAAAATATTTCGAGTTTGATTTTTTTATATATAAAAGATTGTTTAAATTTGGTGTTATAAGCAGCATCCGATCTGATAAAGGCGTCGGTCGAACCGGTGCTGGAACAATACAGGCCGGTTATATTGTCTTCTTTGAAATTCTCTATGTTTTCTCTATTAAAATAAGACTTTTCTAGGCGAGTTTTGGGGAAAAAGATTGTAAAAATTGGTTAGAATTTTCGGTAACCTTATGAAGTAATGTCATTCTTTAGGAGTAAGAATTGTTGAAGAAGGAGCTGATAGTGTTACAATGGAGTTGGAAATGCAGTGAGATGCAAATTCGAATATAGTACTTGCTATCTAGACTTATCTTGGTGTAGCACTACCTGTACAGGTATCAGCTTTATGAGTTTGCTTATTTCTGATGGTTTCTTCCTTGGGTTTCCCATTTAATGTTTTCTCAGGCGATGTATTAGTGCTTTATGCTTCTAGAATTTATAATTATAAAGTTTTCTCGAAAACTTCGTGCAGAAGGCTTATAGCTATTACTTATTATATCACTTATTGGTAACTTAACTTCCTAGATGTATATTTCATAGTAATATTTGTTGTTTGAAATTATTCCACCCTCCCTTTTGACACTGGATACTATTTGTCCTCTCTCTCTCTCTCTCTTAATGCTTCACTTGTCTTTGGCAATGGATTTAATCTTATATAACAGCATCCGGTTTCAAGTTGTTAAGCTTTTTCTCCTGAGTAAGAGCCCTTGTTGTTTAATTCTTTTTTCATTTGACCTAGGTGAAAGATATCGGATTCACAGGAGTTTTCAGGTTGATATTTAAAGTATTAGGTGACTGAGTTTCCTTGCTTTGGAGCTATTTGTTATTCTCTGAGGAAAAAGGTGTGTTATGTGCATCTGATATTTCCAGTTAATGCATGTTGAGCACACGTTTTACCCTGGAGAAAAAACTTAAATTGTAGACAGAGAAAAAATGTGATTGAGATGCATATAACATTTCCCTGACTGCACACTTTTGGAAACCGAAGAAAGAGCTCTGATGTTTGGAGGAATGTTCATTAAATTGATTAAGGTCAAAACGCTGAGCAACTCAATTGTATTCATGCAGATATAAGCAGGTGTTAATTGCATTAGTTCCCATTTAATACAGGAGTAATTGACAGTCATTCTTGTTTCATGTGTCAATTGCGTTTTATTTTGGTGCTTGATTTGATTGTTAAAAAGGAATCATAGCACTTCTGTATATGAAATCTTGCTAAGAACCGATGCCAAAAATAACGTTGGATTTTTGTGGACCTGAGCTTACAAGAGCACAATTGTACGCCTTCAGTTCAGTGGTGTAGCTAATCGAAAATTAGCTCCACTAGAGTATCATAAACAATCTCTTCAACTTATGTTATTTTTGGCATCCGTTCTTAATAAGATTTCATATACAGCAGTGCTATGATTCCTTTTTAACAATCAAATCAAGCACCAAAATAAAAGACAATAGATACATGAAACAAGAATGACTTGCTGTGATTCCTTTTTAACAATTGATATAAGTAGGTGAGTTGTGCATATACAGCAGAAAAAGGATATATATCAGTTGTGCATTTTTTATATAAGTAGGTTGGTGGAACCACTCGTATCCTTACAATTGATATAAGTAGGTGAGTCAAGGTCTAGAAGTTAGAAATAAAAATGTTCCATTGGTTTAATTGATTTGTATATTATACAACCTAAATGAAAGCATGTAACTGTAGTTTCTGGAAATTCTGATTTCTATTTCTTAACATGGGTTACAGAAAAGAAGAAGGTCCTCATCCTTTTAAAGACCTTGTACAACTAGTTTCCTAATTCAAATTCTATTTAAAATTTAAATTAGAGATAAACTAGGAAATGTATCCTAAACTAACTAGCAAACTATTTACAAAATAAAACAAATCTTATCTACAATCTACAGTAATAGTATTCAGCTTGTAGAAGTTTAGCCTTTTGTAACCCCCACCTTATTAATGCAAGTTGTTCATGAATTTGACTTTTATTCTTAAACTAATTTATTTGCCTAGTTAGGTAACAATTAGACTGTCCAGAGTGAATAACTTGTCCTAGGAATTGCTCTTGAGGTGATTTTGACTTGTAACTTGTATGTATGTAACCTCATGCAATCTTTTGTAGCGTCATGTGAGCTTTATGTTCTGTATGAGATGATTAACGGTGAACATAATCTAAAAATCTTATGATTCGCTTCTTTTATATGGTTAGGCGTGCTAAACCTTTCATATAAATTTGTAATTGACCTATGATATTGCGCTCCATGATTCACATGGTTATATATTATCCTCGGTCTATTTTTTTGGGGGATTGAACTCTGTGAGATGGAAGGTTTATTAATACCTCGAAAAGATTTAACATATTTTTGTCCGTACAGAGCACAATCCGTGATGCTATTGAGGATTCTATCATGTGGCCTGTGAGAAAAATTATTCCCATTTTGCCTGGAGACTACAGGTATTGCTTTTCCTTTTTAGTCATTATAATATTTAATAATCTTGATCGATGTAGAAAAGAAGAAAGTAATAGGGACTTTGGGCTACCGTATGGGCAGCATACAAAGAGCCTTCTCTCTCTCTCTGTCTCTCCTTTATCATCTAAGTAGGGCCAAATTTGATGGTCAAAGAACTTGTTGTCTTTATATTTTCAGTGATTTGGAGTTAAAACCGGTTGGAATCCTAGAGGTGAAGCTTATCCAGGCACGTGAGGTAACAAACAAATATATTATTGGAAAATCGGATCCCTATGCCGTTTTATTTGTACGCCCTTTACTTGACAGAACCAAAAAAAAAAAGTAAAACAATTGTAAGTTCTCATTCCTCTCCTTGCTTCCTCTTTGTTCATTCCTAGAGAGAGACATTATTTCAGTTACTTTTCAATAGGTTCAGAAGATTCTTTTTGTATGTGTATTTTTCAGAACAATCAGTTGAATCCTATATGGAATGAGCACTTTGAATTTATCATCTACGATGCAACAACTCAGCACTTGGTGGTAAGAATTTATGATGATGAGGTGTTCAGGCACCCGAGCTCATTGGGTGTGCTCAAGTACTTCTAAGTGAACTTGAACCTGGTAAAGTGAAGGACGTCTGGTTGAATCTGGTTAAAGACTTGGAGATCCAGAGAGACACTAGGTACAGGGGGCAGGTGAGCACATTGATTATCCTCCTTAGTATAATAAATTAATAATAGTTTAAGCATTCACATGCCTGCATGTATTTTCACTAAATAGAATTTGTTCAAGGGAAATTCCTTTCTATAGTATCATTTTATTCTTTCAAATTGTGATGCCTGCGTTTCTGGAATAATATTGTTTGGAGAGGATTGGTTCCCCTAGAGTTGAAACATTAGTGTGGTTGTACTTCATAAAATAGCTGTTAAAACCGAATTGATTAACAGAGGTGTTCAAGGTATTGAGGATGATTTATGCCCTCTTTGTAAAATGGTTGAAGAAACTTCCACGCATTTATTTTTTACTTGTTCGGTTGCGTGGTCTTTGTGGAACAAATTTCTAAAATTCTGGAGGTTTAGTTCTGTTTTTCCTGCAGATGCAAAAATCTTTCTTCTAGCTTGGGATGAGTTGAAATCAAATTCTGCTATATGGACTTTCATTCCTAGGGCTGTCATTTGGACCATTTGGAAAATCAGAAATTTTATTGTTTTTGAAGAGGGGAAGCTTGATCAGACATAATTATTCTTCTTAGCAAGAGTTAGGCTTGCTTCTTGGTTCCTAGCAAAGCACAAGGATGTTTCTATTCCTAAGAACTCTTTGATTTTTGATCCTTCAATAGGGGATTCTTACTCGCCCTACAATTTCTTGAAGTCTTCTATAATCCCTTGGTTATCTCCCCGTATGGGTTTCATCAAATTGAATGTGGATGCAACCACTAGCAGTGATTGGAAGAAATCAGGTCTTGGAGGTCTTTTGAGGGAGCATTCAAGTGCAATCCTAGGTTCTTTTCAGGAGCCTGTTGGTTCGGGACCTCCGACATTGAAGGAACTTAAAGCTATTACAAGGGGTATTTCTTTCTTTGCCTCTTTTCAAGGGAGGGTTAAAGATAGGTTGATTGTTGAGAGTGATAACAGGGTTACAGTAGACTGGATCAACAATGTTGATTCATGTCCAGTTGTATATGGTTTCGTTGTTAGAGATATAGTTGATAATATTAAAATTTTGGGGTTGTTAAATGGGCTGCAAAGACCGCTAATATAGAGGCTGATGCTTTAGCAAAGGTTGGTATACGATGATTTTTATGTTGTTGGCATTTTCAGTTTGGTTTTCTGGTTCCCGTTCGGATGGGGCCTTCAAATCTTATCAAAAAAAATTGTGATGCCTGCAGTAGGTACAAAGTGCTATATGTGGTTGCACGCCCCATTCAGTCGCCCTTTAAGTTATAAGATTTCTTAATTTATTTTTTCTTAGGGTGTTTTCCCTTCGTAGAATGTGATGAAATGTAAAAATTACTTTCGTTACAGACATTTCGAAACACGTCATCTTATGAAGGATTTTACATGTTACTTTTGATTGAATATACGGCATTTATATCTTTCATGGAACAATATATTCATGGATTTCTTTTTTGCGAAAGCTAACCACCATTTATTTGGAGTTCCATTGGGCCTATAGGCAACACTGAATAGTCTCCCGCTTGTTTCTTCTCTTATTTGCTTCAGATAATTCCTAAGCAGTTCTGCATTTAAGAGATCAACGAATTATACGGTAGCCAATTATTGAGACCTCAGTACTCAAAGTGGTAAATTACATCACAAAGGATCAAGAGTTTGATGTAACAAACATAAATGAAAAGTTCCACAAAGTATTCCAAGCATTGCATACTTCCTACAACACTTGTCATATTCAAAGCACTATTGGAAAATCAACAGATTTTACATTTTCATGTTCACTGAAATTCAGGCTTTTCAAACAACTTTAGGGTTATAATCTTTGAATTGGTTGGATGGCTCTTGTATATTATTCAAAACTACGACCTTAAAGTAGAAAGTACATTCGGTTTGCATAATTCTCAAATCTTCCATGCAAAATCAATTTGAGCTACAACAAAAATATCAAGTATGAAAGAGAGGCAGTTAGAGAGGCAGCTAACTGACTAAAAGAGTTCACAACCTATGATACTTGGACCATGCTTCACAGTTACCCAACACTTCAATAATCTACAAAACTTATATCGAAATGTAAAAGAATAACCTGCTTCCTTTTGAGAATAGGGAAGAACAAAGAGCCCTAGAAAAGGAAAACCGGATTCTCCAGGTGTGGGAACGTCTTCCAAGCCCAAGTTAATGATTGCCTTAGTACCTTCAGCCAAGGTCCTACAGCCCTCAAGCCTCTTCAAAGCCACATTTATGTAGAACGTCCAATATATAAGGAGCTTATCCCCAGGGCTCTTGATCTCAAAGTTTCTAAAGGAAACATTGGCACGAAAGAATGTGATTGCTTCATCGACAATATCAGTTTTACCTGCAAAAAAACGATCTTAAATTACCAACTCAAAAGATAAGAAAGGCTATAATATCGAGAACTATCCAATGAAGGTGATAAATCCAAACTTGATCTGCAACAGGTGCAGGACCACTTATGTGCCTTTTCAAAGTAAAGGGAAGCCACAAGCTTTAGTAATTCCTTCCTCGTCAACAAAACTATAGTGATAAACCTGGCATTTAACAACCATCTCTAATCGGAATATGAACCAAATTATCATAATCAAGGATGGACCGAGGGAATGCAGTCAGACCTATGGAAATTTCAAATTCACACAGTTCAGGTATTTTCTTTTGCATTTTTTGTCGATGATACAATTTCATGCCCCTAAATTTGTAATTTAACTTACTAAAAAAAATTCCCACCACTGGCATAAAATTCTGCGTCCATCTCCTATCACAATTAACCGATTGTGAATTACATGCACAATCTAGCGAAAGGGGAATAAGGCAGAGATTGCTTCAAATACCATTTTCTTAGATTTCTTTTCCCAAACAAACGAGGCAATGGGATTTTCCCTCAAAAGAAAGATGGCAACCAAATGTTTCTGCAAAGAACAGCAGTACAAGACCAAATTCCAATCAAAAGTTATGTCTTTTCTCCACAAAAGTGAGAAATTCCCTAATCAACAATATATAATAAAAAAAGAACATATGAAATAATAAATTCAGATAGTTTCTTTACATGGAACTAAGCAAGACCCGAGATCTTAAAAATATAACATAAACCCATCAAATTAAAGAAGTTAAATGAAAAATCAAGGCAACCCCATTATAGCAATGGGAAATCCATTAAATTCTGCATAATGAGCAAAGAGAGATTAACATGTAGAAATCTTTAAGCGGAGAAAAGACGGAAATTATACCAAAAAAAATTGATGGTTGAGCTCAGCCAAGAAAAATCAACCAATTGGGTGTAGATCCATGCAAACATAAGGATGAAATGGGAGGAAAACAGAATAAAAGATGGAGCAACTTTCTGCCAACAAACGATTTCAACTCAACGCCCGAGCTGAAGTAAAGTTTCAACACACCTAACCTGCCCGTGCTTGATTTCTTTGAGATTAAACCATTTAACTGGGACTTACTCCGCCGTTTTGATCCTATCCTATTAGGACTTTAAACGAGACGGTTTGAGTTTGTATATTGATGAGGTTATTTAAAAAGTTTAAGGTTGAGTTTGGATAGACTCGAAAGTTGATTAATTCAAAATTATCAAATTTGTCTTGAACTTAGACTTAACTTTGATTTCTAGATTGAAACTTAAAATTAAATTTAATTTAAATTCGTTATTTACATTTTATATTTGTATGTTCTTATTAATTGCAACTTACTTTAGTAGTTATAAGAGTGGTTGTTCTTTCTCAAGGTCATGTGTTTGAGCATAAGAAGTTACAAGGTGATTGAGCTTTTATTATTAAATAATTGAGAGTATGTAGTACATATATTATTTTGTAATCATCTTTAATTTAATAAAAAAATTAAAAAATAATTTTAGTTATTTAAGATATATTTTTTTATTAAGTTTTGTTTATTTAGAAGTGGAATGACATTAGTTTAAGCACAAAAAATTGTATTTAAAATAAGGATATAATACATAAATAATCATTTAATTATATGATGTTATTTTGTCGAGTCCCTCCTTAAAAATTATAAAATGGTTCTTTAATTATAGTATATAAGATATTAATTTATTGAGTTTCTCGACTATTAAGTATTACAAAATAGTTAGATGACTATTTATATGTATCAAACTTATCATTTTCTATTAAAAAATTGACGATTGTCTAAGTTGTGTGATAAAATTTGATCCAATAATTGTTTGAGTTATAAAGTCGTTTGAGATTTTGGGATCATATTTTATCATATCCTAATTAGTAAGTTAACATCAAACTTATATGACTGCCAACTTTTTAATGAAAATGATCGCATTTAAAACATATAAATAATTGAGTGGTCATTTTATAACTTTTAATAATTAAGAAATTCAACAAAATAATGGGTGACTTTTTGTATTAATGCAGTAAAAAAAATTGCAAAAAATCAGCCTTATCATGGTAAAGCGCTAAGGAAATGTTAATATTTGTAGTAATTTAATATTAATTTTACGGATAGATCTGTCGTACGATAACTTAATATACAACTAAGGAAAGACGCTATCGGAAATGTTATTAATTTTTTAACATTTATGATAAAGCGCTACCTAAAATATTATTTTTTTCTACCTGAAATGTTAATTTCGCTACCTAATTTTCGATAGAAAAACCAGTATAAAAAATAACATTTTAGGTAGTGCACAATATTAACATTTTCAGTATAAAAAAATAATGTTTTAAGTAACATTTTACCGAAATATTAAAAAACTAATAATATTTCCAATAATATATTTCTTTAATCGTATATTACATTATGGTACTGGAGACATCCCCTAATTTCCCCCGTATCAACACACATGTAAGAGCTGCGTATATGGGCTAAGGTCCGCGAGCTACCCGTATAACCCACAGCCCGTGCGAGCTTCGGGCCTCAAAAAATAAAGCTCATTTAAATTACGGGCTTTTTAGCCCGGATCGTTAAACCCGTAGGTAACCCGCGGGTAGCCTGATTAATTTAATAATTTTTTTCAATTTATTTTATGTGTTACGAAAGACAATTCACGTTTAGCCCAATTCACGTTTTATATGCATTTTAGCCATAGCCCAATTCACGTTTTATATGCACTGAAATTTGAAGCTCAATTCACGTTTTAACTTGATGATATCCAATTTTAAAGTTCGAACATATTAATTATGCCTATGGTAACGTAATATGATAACATAATCAAAAATGTTTCCATCTTTTTATATACGTATTTACCATTTATAATTAATACCATCAATATATATATATATATATATATATATATATATATATAAATAAGCCATAAAACGTTTATTATACTCCAATAATTAATCATAAGAAGAACTATATACATATACGTTAAAGAAACAAAAAAAACAAATCAAAATATTAAACATGTATAAATATAATAATTAAATTAAAAAAGTAAAGTAACATAATATGCAAATATGCAAATAATATATAAAACTTGAGTCAGTGATAAAAAAACATGCATCAAATTAGAGTGCAAAATTAAAATAATAAACTATATTGAGGATTATATTGCATTAATTCAAAAGTGGGTGGAACCCTTACACGATTAGTACATTAAAACTTGTATGGTTGCCCTAAATCCCTAAAATACGTTATTTTGCCCTAAAATCCATCGTTTCTCTATATCTCTTCAACTTCTCTTTTTTCACATAAATAATAAACAGTAAACGGGTAAACCCTTTAGCCCGCGGATTAAATGAACGGGTCGCGGGCCTTAAAATTTAAGATCTTTTATGATTGCGAGTTTTTTAAACAACTCCGTTTAAATCCACACTATCAAAACCTACAGATTAAACGGGCGGGTAACCCGTATACCAACTCTACATGTATGCCAGTTTTCAACTAGTTTTGAGCCGTCGCAATTTACAAAATTATTATAATATATTTTATTAAATTACAAAACAACCCCTATAAGTTTGCCATTGTTCCAACGCTGCCCCCAATTGCCCCCCACTTTTTATTTATTTTCCCATCACACCCTTTCCTTTCTTTACTTCGATAACTGACTCTTATTTTTTCCCAATTTCTCAAAAAAACCCCAAAGCTTTAGGGTTTCTTCTTCTCCTCCATCTCCAAGCCCCTGACTTTGCCTCTTTGGTAAATTCTTCCCCTTTCACTCCCTCTCTCTACACGTTATCATTCAATTTTCCTCCTTTTAATTCTTCTTTTTTTGGTTTTCTTTTTTGGGTTTGCATGCTGTAATTTTGTTTAATTGTTTTGATTCTTTTGCATGTTCTTGGAATCCTTGATTTTGAGTCGAAAATCTAATTTAGTTTCTTGTCTAGATTGTTGCGTTTTCGTTTAAAAGTTCTGCTTCGTGGTGGGTTTTTGCTGATCTGATTATCATGACCCTTTGTTTTTAAAAGAAGAAAATTGAGCTCCCTAGCAATGGAAAATGTTGATCCATTTGGTTTTGAAAGCCTTATTCATCTTGAAATAAGCTTTGGGTTGATAACCCTTTTAGTTGTTTTATATGTTGGGTTTGAAAACTTGTTTTTTAAAAAATACTTGTTAGTTACCGGATGTTACTTGTAAATTTGAAGTTTTTAGTATTATAAATTCTATTTTTGTCAATGTGTTTCTTGTAATGGTAAATCATTATGTGGGTTGTCTTGGTTTGATTTTTAAGACAACGTTGCGGTTCTGTTGTTTGAGGCTCAACTAGCTCGACTACTTAATACTGACTGTAAGTTTGCCTTTGAGTATTACGATGGTGATTCGGCAATGAAAATCTGTGTCTTTCACTTTAGTTAAGTTAATAAAGACTTAGCATTTTGGTCTAAATTGCCAGCTATTGTTTGACTGTTGTATGGTTAGAGGACCTTGTCAATTTCCTTTTTTCCTTTAAAGGGATTTCTTCCAACCCCATTGCTTGCCCTGCGCATAGTATTGATGTAATGATGGTTGTAGGCTATGTATTGTATGTTTTGTAATGATTTTAAATTTTGGCTTGGTAAAGCAAGTGTAACAGCTAAAAACTTGTAATTTATTTTATGAGTTTATGTAATCTATTTGTAAATTTGTTGTTTGTTTAAGTTAAGAAGCCATTTGGAATGGTGCGGGGAAAGCTGATCTTGATTTGCCAGCATGGCGGTGAATTTGTGCCGAAGGATGATGGATCCTTGTCATATTCTGGAGGAGAGGCACATGCCTTAGATATCAGTCCTGAGACAGCATTTGACGATCTCAAGCACAAATTAGCCGAAAAAAGTAACTTGGAATATAAATCTTTGACTATGAAGTATTTTCTCCCTGGAAACAGGAGAACTCTAATTACTCTGTCCAATGACAAAGATCTAAAAAGGATGTATGATTTTCATGAGGACTCGGTGACTGCAGATATTTTCCTTACAGGGACAAAAGGCTTTGTTCCTGCGAATCTTGGTGCGCAAGCTAAGAGGTAATTGCTTTCTACCTGCAGTTTCAGCATCTTCTAGATTCTTTTAGATGTCATTGTTATTTTCTTGTCACCTTAAATTATAAGGTCATGCATTATCATTGCATCAGCAAGAAAAATGAGAATGTGCTGAAAAAAACCATGTTCTTTTATGAGTTTGGGTTTGCCTCAGTATTTGTGCATAGCGCATAATTGTGGAAATTGTAATATCAACAGTTTCATTAAGATCAATCATCACTTGCAGGAAAATTCGTGCAAAAAAAGGTGCCGCCTCTGCTGCGGGTCCTGCTACTTCCAAAGTTGCTCGCTCTGCTGTTGGCCTGAAGGATGTTACTGTTGGTATAGCAACCCCTTCTGATTCTGTCGCAGTGTCAATGCAACACTCCGAAGCCCCACTAAAGCAGCTAAACGTACTGCTGGCCGTAACATTGTTGATGGTCTTTTTGAGGTCAGCGTGGCTGATGCAACTGACACAGATACAATTGATATGAGTGCTTCTCCTGCTGATACCGTCAAGAAACGAAGGCGCACTGCATCCTGGAGAAGTGGTGCAAATGGTCTTAACATTGTGAGCGTTGACGATGATCTTGAGGAGACCAGAAAATATACATCCCGGAAAAAGGCTGCCAGGAAACACAATACTGTTGCAGTAGCTGATAACATGAGCCTGGCTCCTGCTCCTCCCAGTGATGCTTCACCGGATGAACTGGTTGAATTTTGGAAAAATGGTATTACTGGTGAAGGCCAGGACTTCGGAAGTGTGGCGGAATTCCGTGATGCTCTACAGAAATATGCCATTGCACATCGATTTGGTTATAGGCTAAGAAAAAATGACACTAATCGTGCTTATGCCGTATGTGCAGTAGAAGGCTGTCCTTGGAAGCTTCATGCATCTTGGGTCCCGTCCGACGGTGTGTTTAGGGTTAAAAGGATGGACGCAGCACATACTTGTGATGGTGAATCTCGAAAGACTGGTACTCCAGCTAAAAAAAATTGGTTGGTGAATATTATCAAGGATAGGTTAAGAGATAGCCCACACCACAAACCAAAAGAAATTGCCAAAGACATTCTTCGTGATTTTGGGCTTGAACTGAACTATGCGCAAGTATGGCGTGGAGTTGAAGATGCTCGGCAGCAACTTCAGGGTTCATACAAAGAGGCATATGGTCAGTTGCCTTGGTACTGTCAGAAGATAGAGGAGGCAAATCCTGGTAGTTTTACTCAGCTTCTCATTGGAGATGATAGACGATTTCAGCGTCTTTTTATATCCTTTCATGCTACAGTTTATGGTTTCCAAAGTGGTTGTCGTCCACTGCTTTTCCTAGAGGCCATCCCATTGAAATCAAAATACCATGAAACTCTGCTCACGGCCACTGGACTGGATGGTGATGATGGGATTTTCCCTGTTGCATTTGCTGTTGTAGACATTGAAAATGAAGACAGTTGGCATTGGTTTTTGCAGCAGTTGAGATCTCAAGTGTCAACTTCTCGTCCTCTAACCTTTGTCTCTGATAGAGATAAAGGATTAATGAAGCATGTGCTTGAAACATTTGAGAATGCTCACCATGGTTACTCGTTATACTACTTGATGGACAGCTTCATTCAAAACTTGAAGGGACCATTCCATGGAGAAGGGAGAGCTTCATTGCCTGGATGTTTCTTGGCTGCGGCAAAAGCAGCCCGACTTGGTGGTTTTAGGATGTACACCGAGCAAATTAAACGAGTTTCTTCAAGTGCTTATGATTGGATCATGCAAAATGAGCCTGAATACTGGGCGAATACATTTTTCAAGGGTGAGCTTTATAATCACATAACACTCAACATTGCAGAGTCATATGCTAACTGGTTAGAGGAAGCACGAGAACGACCCATCATGCAAAAGATAGAAGTACTAAGATGTAAAATCATGGAATTAATGGAAAGTCGTCGAATGGAATCTAGTAACTGGACTACGAAACTTACACCATCGAAGCAGGAAATGTTACAAGAAGAATTTGCAAAAGCACGTGGTCTGAAAGTATTATTCTCATCCGACACCCTATTTGAAGTTCATGATAATTCCATTAATGTTGTGGATATTGTTAAACAACACTGCAGTTGTGCTATGTGGAAACCAACTGGGCTACCTTGCCATCATGCGATTGCTGTCTTTAACTACACAGGTAGGAATGTGTATGATTATTGTTCAAGGTACTTCACGGCAGATAGTTTCCGATTGACATATTCTGGTAGCATAAGTCCTGCTTCAGCCATTGCTTACCCTGGTGGAGATGAAGATCATGAAGAAGATGATGATGAGCAGATAATGCCTCCAATCGCACAACCATTAGGCCAACAGCAGAAGAAATTTAAACGGAACAAAGGCCAGGGAATTATAAGAAGATCTGTTTGTTGCACTCGGTGCAAAGGAGTCGGGCATAATAAGGTTTCATGCAAGGCAATCTTATAGGGAGAGAATTTACCTTTATGTATGTATGTATAACGGTGTACAGACAGCTTTCATGGTTGCTTTAGGTAATTTCCAACTACTTTGAATAACAATCTCCATGGACTAACCACATTAGCATGCCATGAATAGTTGTCTTCTTTTAAGTTGCATTTATGTATTAGGCTAAAGTACTTGGAATTTGTTGAAATTGGGTAGGTTGAATTGTGTTTGGATCGAGTCATTCAGGTCTTTTCTGTTTAATATATTTTTCGTGTTTAGTATTTGGATTATTTTCTGTTTCATCATTTTGAAATTTAATTGTTTTAAAATCAAAGCAATTTAAGTTTGAATGTCTCTCTGCGTTAGAATTGTTTTTGTTTCAAATTGCTCGATTTACAATGGTATGTATGGTTTGAAAAGGATCATAAAATAGTTACGGGGAGGGGATCAAGAGTATAATGCCCAAGCCTCCCAGTGCGGTACAAATCTAGCAACTTAACACCGACTTTATTGTCAACGTTTTCACCTATGTATTCCGGGACACGGGAAGCCACCCTCAACGGTATAAACTGTGCCTTGATAAGCTTTATCATGTCGTCCTCGAGCTCTAGGTTACTATCAAAAGATGAAATGGTATCGAAGATAGCCCCACGAACACCATGTAATATCGGATCCTGCATTGACAAGTCAAGCATAGTCCTTTCCTTCGTACACAAACAATAAGGTCCCTGTCCTTGACCAGGACTAACAGGTCTTAGGGACAACAATCAAGGCCAAAGACAAGCTCATACCTGAGTGTGATCCATCAGATACTGCTTTTTCTGTCTCACCTCCAGTTTAGAGCTAATTGAGGCCTCTTCTTTGCGGTCTAGCCTACTCTGATTGTTTGAAAATTTTGCCCATTTCTTATATTGGTCACTTAAGTTAAGAATGGGCAAAAAATATTGAGCAAGTTCCTTTTGCTCAATCAAACCATCTCTAATTGCCCCTGCACTTGCAAAATGGAAAATCATTGGAATTAATAGAGGAAGTACTTGAGCCTCATATAGTTGAACTATTACAGTTAGCTTATTCCCTTGAAAGAGCAAAATTCCATGATATTGGAGAAAATGGAATCTAAATTAAGAAAAAGAGACCACCTGTCAATGCTAGTTTGGAGCAACGTTCGGCATCATGAATGATATGAGGCAAAATACCAGGAGTATCCAACAAATAGATATTGGGATGGCTACCAATCTGAAGAAAAGAACTGAGCATAAAACACTACATGGTGTTGGAAAAAAATGGAATCTAAATTAAGAAAAAAAAATACCCATTATAACATGGTGGCATATATACCTTCAAGCCGCTGATGTCTTTTGTCTCTCCAGGCTGAGGACTCACAGTTGCATGCTTCAACTTTCCTTTTTCTAAATAGAAGGAACATGGGATAGTTCAGATTTCATTTAAAGGTTCATTAAGCAGGAGAGGAACAAGAGAATTAAACGAGAAGATTTGAGAAGGATCAAAGCACCTGCAGCACTAATCCTCCCAATATGATGCAAAGAATTAGGTAGTGCTGATCTACCAACATTAGGAATCCCTACCAACATTATTGTTATTGTCTCCCTAGAATTAGCTTTGCACAGTCCCCTAACTTGAGCTCGTATAAAATTGAGCAGCTGTGAGAAATGAATTGTTTACCAATTGGCTGGTATATATAATATATCTTAAACAAGGAAAATGGTTTCATCAAAGAGAGAGAGAAAAGACATAGGGTTAACACTGAATGTAGGAGAATTCTAGTGGTTAGATAAGCGAGATAAAATACCCCTTTCACACTGTCCTTGTTATGGGAATTGACTCCATAAGGAATGCAGTTTTGTTGCTCAAAGTATCTCATCCATCCCTAAAAGATGGAACAAAATATCAGTATATGGCTATATGCTAAGATTATGGCACATCTATAAAGTGGGTTTTATTTCAATTCTCCTACTGAGTTAGTGTTTTTTTAAACAGGTGACACCAAACTCGACACAATTAGGGATGGATCGAAAGGAGCTGGCAGGATAGCAACTCCCTTCGAAATTTCAAATTCTCATATAATTTAAATATTTTCTTTGTATTTTCTATTGATTATTTATTTTCACCTACTAAAATTTTATAAATTTACCCCAACATACAATTTTGAGTCGTCTCTTTGACACAATCATTTGGAAATGGAAGGGCAAAACACAAGAAACAAATGACAATCATTTGGAAATGGAAGGGCAAAACAAAAGAAACAAATGCCAACCTTTACTTGTGTTGGGTCAGCGAGGTCAATCTTGTTCATGACAACAATTCGTCTAGAAAGAGAAGGAAAAATCCTCAACAGCTCATACTCGGATGACAAGGGAATCTGAAAGGTTACCACTCAACAAGTTGGATGATAAGTTTCATTTTGCAGAGAAGAATAAAGTAAAAAAAGAATATACCCTGGCGTCTCTGATCTCAGCAACGAGATCAACCAATGGAAGTCGTTGAGCAATGGCATTTGTGGCCGCAGCCATGTGGGGGTCGTTCCACCATCCTTTATTTCTGCTTGCTGCTTTCTGCTTTCTGCACTGCAATCCCTATTTTCCTTGCTGTTTTACTTGCAACGCTATTTGCTGCCATTGGTATTATCTTTTGTCTCGAATGAATTTTTCTTTCTTTCATTCTTCTCTCTTAGGATGCTACTGGTGAACGAGTTTATATTAAGAGTTTAGGGTTTAAGTGAAAACCACGGTAGAACAATTGGAAATTATTCGGGCATAAAATCAAACATGCTGAGGGCAATGTGATTAGCGCCTGAATTGCATTCAAAACGAACATAAATCTATCAAACGAAAAATCGACGCCCGGTACAAGAAATATGAACGATTTAGGGGGGAAATTGAAGTGAAAGAAATTTTCTGAGCAGTCTAAGAAAGGTAAAGAATCTTTAGAAAGCTTGAAGGTCGAAAAATATTAACTCACTTTCATCTCAAGACTCAAGAACACTGTATTATCTCTCTGGTTTTTTTTCCCGCCCATTAGGCCAGACCGGCTCCTTATTTAGCCTAACACGAATTATTCAAGGAAATACGCCATTTGTAAGTGTTCCTAATTCGTCATATAGACATAACAAATTTCATTGAAAAATATATTTTAATGTATGTTGGATCTAATATATATTTTTTTAAACTCATCACGGCGGGTAATGAGTTTAAAATAATATTTTTTTAATTTAGATATTTTAACAATAAAAAAATAATAAAACTTGTCATGTCGAGATGATGAGTTCCATTTAGTTTAAAAAATTAGTTGTTTATAATTGTTGGGTAACGACCATTTTTTTGAATTGATAGAACCCGTCGTGACGAGTTCAAACAATCATATTGATATTTTTTTGTATAAATAGGAGTGGGGTGAGTTGATTGAGTTTATATGAAAAGTGAGAAAGAAAAAAATGTTTAAGGGTCATTGTTGCTCCTATAGTATACCAAATTTATCAATTTCGTCATTATCGTATTTCATCATTATCGTATTTTCGCATGAATTTAACATTCGAAATTGTTTAATTGCATCATTTTATACCAATGACCGTGTTAACTAATAGAACCATTAGTTTCTGCTTATGTGAACACTAACTGTTTCCACCTCAGATAATATTGTTGACGTGTCTAGCTGATGATGTGACATTTATGAAAAAATAAATATTTTATAATATTAACACCTATTATGGGTTTATAAATCTCCAACTTAAAATTAATCCCCTCAACATATTCTCTTCATCCTTCATCGTCATCTCCAGGTAGGTAATATATTTTCAATGATTTTTCCCTTCTTTTATTTTATTTTTGAAATAAAAAACCCTTTCATATTTCTTTTACCCATCGTCATTTTTAAGGAACATTGTTTGTAACACCTATTTTCCGTATACGTTTCTGTACACAAGTCACAAGTGTCACATGACTTTTATAAACATTTTTTTATTTGTAAACCCATAAAATTTTGTTTCGAAAATAAAACAAAATATTTTAATATAAAATAAAACATTCGCTGTAACATATTACAAAATTATAACTTCAATACTTTCTAGAGCATTTTCTTAAATTCAAATGCATGCCATCTAATTATCAAAAGAAGATATAAATGTCCTACAGTTATTGATGAGTCAACCTTGGATTGATGATCTCTACTGCACTCCTTACTCTGCTAGTCTTTGCTATTTCCTACATGTGAAATCAACACATGCTAAGTATTTACTTAGTGAGGCATAATAATATAAAGGAAATGTAATTTATACACAAGTATATCATGACTATCAAAATACGAAATAAATCGTATACTTCATAAGAATCATTTAAAAACCATCTCAGTTAAAACAAGTTTCTTTCATATAGTCATCGAAACTATTCTTAGTATGCCCATCATACCTATCTATCTGTATTTTTCTAATTATCTTTTATTTTGCCCAATGTATGTCAACTGAGAATGCAAGGTACATGCGTTGCACCGAAGTACCAAAATGGTAATTCACCTTATTATGAATACCATGTGTGGCACCTTTTATGTCGAAAATGCATCGTTATGCATTAAGTAAAATTGATCGATAACTTTCATACACGAAGTATGTCGAAATGGTAATTCACCTCATTATGAATACCATGGGTGACACCTTTTATGTCGAAAATGCACCGTTATGCATTAAACAAAATCGATCGATACTATCATACACAAAGTATGTCAAAATGCACCCATAACTATCAATGCACATACAATGGGCTTTTAAGTCAAATCCACAGATTTAAACATTTATTTCTGCAACATCGATAACCATTGAACACCATCAACATTCATATATTCATTTTAGAGCATTTCATAATTTAAAACTTATTCATAATATCATTCCCATACACATTATGAAAATATATCAAAATACTGTAAAACATACATTTAACAAGACCTTCGAGGTTGACTGACCGCCAGTCTTCCTCATCTCATATAAGTATAATAAATGCACTCACCTAATATGCCTCACTAGTATGCTTTAAGGATGTCCAGTTATTCAAAAACTTTAACTTTTCCCTTTTTCTTGCTTGACTCTAGAGCTTAGTTACGATCTACACAAGCATCCATTATTATACATATCATACAAAAGTTAGTATACTTTCTAACATTTATTCTTTTAATTATACTAAAAATACTATTATTTTCAATTTCTATTAAAATTCATCATATCTTAAAATTTCAGGCTCAACAGTATCGGTACCCCTACTATGGTATCAATACTTCTATACTATGG